TCGTAAGACATCTTAGGCACCATGTTTCAATCCGCACTAAGGTACAGGAGGGTATGAATGTCATACCCCAAATCACATTACACATATTACATAAATGACTGAGCAGCCCGCAGAAGAGGCCATTACACACTGATGTGTTCTGTAAATCTGCAGCAACATCCACTAGCATAATTGAGGAGCCATAAATCTAACAAAACCAACAAGGAGGGGAGAAAATATAACTTGAGATAGCAGTCATGTGAAGTTTTAGCTTTTCTTGTAGCTATAGAGTAACGCATGATGCTTTATAAAGATTATAGGATTCTTAGTACATAATGGACTATACAATATACATCTGAAATGCTGAAGTCTTAGCCAAAATCACAGATACGCAAGTGGTCCAGCCACTACCAACACATTCTGCTCTTCAGCCTCTCTTGATGTTGTGAACTAGCTAGATAATCCTTGTAATCTAGTGAAGAAACATCCCATCCATTGTACTAAACCACAATGAAGCAGCTAGGCAACTTAAAAAAAAGGACATGATTCTCAAATCCATAAGAATGATCAAGGAACAAAATGATACAAAATGGCTGCCACAGTTAAATGCAGGAAAGCGCAATAGAAGTGCCTTAGCCTAAAATAAAATGCAAAGCAAATGCATTCCCTTTAAATGTGCTACAACTCTCACTCTGTGCTCAAAATGTATATAAAACAGCAGGATAATGAATTATTGTTGTACAATTCAGAGGTTTAAAGAAATTCACATTTAAGCTAAGCTTTGAAATGTATCAGAGGCAACAGTGATATCTAACGCAAGTTCTCCTTTACACAGCATAGTTTTTGCATTAATAACTAGTTTGGCATGCTTTTTTAGGGGTTGTTTTCCACTTATGCAGCAGCATAGTTAAGACACCTTGCAAGGACCATGCAGAAGCTTAAGGTAGATGGGATGTTCAGATACCAGTTCAGATACTTAGCATTTTCTTGGGAACTACCAGGGTTGCAGTGGTTGCAGCTGGGACCTGGATCTGGTGCTCCACCACTGTCCTGAAATCATTAGTCTGTATAGTTTTAGAAAATCTGTCACATGACAACAAAAATGTATCAGTACTTGTATCTGTGAGGACATGGACAAGTATCAATACTTGTAAAAAATGGTATCAGTGCATCAATTATATTTATTTAAACAAAATCATACATTAAAAAACAGGGATGCACAAATCCCAGGAGCTTAAAAACGACAGCTGCCGCCTAACTTTTGAATGTTTCTCTAGTCTAGTCCTGGAGCTGAAAAAGTATCTGTACCGAGTACTGTACTTGGTATCTGAAGATCCCTAAAAGTAGATGTAAACACTAACTGATTAACATTAAGTCTGCTGAAGCACTGTCTATGATCACAAGTGCCTTTTTTATATATAAAAAAAAAAAGAATGAACGCTGTAAACTCCTTTCCTTGGTGTACAGGATGGTAATGTTAGACCACTGGGTCACACTGCCACCTTCAGGAGAATAAACACTGGCAAAGGGCAGTCCAATACAACCCCTTCCACTTCCGGCAAGCCTTCGGTTTGTATCAAGCAATAAAAGGAGTGTGTCGTAAGAAAACAGAGAGGAGCGTCCTGTGATGTACTCCAAGAAAAGGATTTTACAAGTAAAAGAAAAAAGTATAATAATAATTATTAATCACAGGACACAGGATAGTAATCTTAGACCACTGGGACGTCCAACAGAAGTCCAACTGAAGGGTTGGCAACATGGCAATTAAGCCAACAGGCCCACAACTTCACAAGGTAACAGAGGTGGCTAAACAGAATCATGCAGAGCCTCCTGAAGAACTTCAAGGCTAAAGCTGAGGCTTGTACATCAACAAATGGTAGGCAAGGAAACAGCCTTGCAATCTGAAAAAAAAACACACCATCCCACATGCTGAAAGGTCCAAGGAGCACTGATTGCTCAGGTAAAATGCGTCCAGACAGGTAAGGGACAAACCTAGCACCAGGAGGTCATTAACCAGGTAAATGAGGTTTTGAGTCCAACATTGAAGGTGGAACAAAATGTAGGCTGTCCCCTACAGGGATGAAAAACAGACTGACAGACTGACTGAGGGATGAGAAATGACTGACGAGGAGTATCAGCTAAGAGTGAAATTCAAACAGAGCACAAGCAATCCAGACAGTTGAGAGAAATCTCCATAGGATATTATGGAGTAAGGCAGATAAAAAAGGTAGAACAATTTCCTGGTTAAGGTGAAGACAAAAAAAAAAACAAGGAAAAAAAAGAAGAGGCCCCAGCCTTGTCCTTGTGAAGAAGAAAATGTTCCATACAGGCCATGGCTGCCAATTTCGAAACTCGCCTCACAGAAGCGATGGTGAGAAAAAGACAGCTTTGCAAGTAGAAATAGACAGAAGAAAATTCTTGATAGGTTCAAGGGGTGGCCTAGAAGGACCAAACGAACCCAGATTGAGATCCCATGGAGTCCCTGGGGAAAAAAAACTGTAGGGACCACAATGCAAGTGACACCCTGAACCTAGGCCTACTCAAAAGAGTGAAGAGCAAGCAGCCTTTGAAAAGGAACCGCCAAGATTTCACCCTTGATAGTCCTCAAGTCCAAAAGCTGATCCGGACTAGACTGTGGAAGACAGTATTCATCCGACAGAGAACATCCTGGGATGGAAACCCAACTTCACACCAAGCAGAATACACTTACAAAGTACAATGGTAGCCTTCAAGAGAAGTCGGCCCCTAGCCTTCAGCACATAGGGAAGACCAACACCGGTAGGCTCCTGTACCTCAGGCTTCAGAAGCCAGGACACTAAGCTGGTGACTTGAAAAGCAGGGTGGGAAACTGGTCCAAGGGGCAGAAAATCTAGATGATCTGGGAGGGCCCACAGACATTCCCCCAGAATTCTGACAAGGTTCGATCACCACCTCCTCCTCCTGAATCAGTTTGGTGGTATAGTACTGGAATGCACACCAGCTCGAACCTGCAGAGCAGTTGTGGAAGGAGTATCAGAGGAGGAAAAGGCAAATGTTGATAAAGTAGAACTGATCCCATGTAGTCACGAGTGTATCCACTGCAAAGACTAGAGGATCTTGGGATTTGGAGCCCAACCTGCTTAGGTTTGTGACCAAGAAGCCATTAGGTCCATTTCTGGCATCTCCTACCTTCGACATAGGTCTTTAAACACTTCAGAGCGAGAAGACAATTCTCCAGGAGGTTGACAATTGAAAAAATCCAGACATGCATGGATGTTGGCTGACCAAGACCAAGTTGAATAATCCTTCAGAAGGTAGAACAAAAATCCCACCTCATTAAATGCCCTAAGGGCAAAGCAGAGCAAGAACAGGGGCTGGTACCCTGATGTGACTCAAGGTGCAGAGGACAGGCCCAAAGCTAGGTCCAAAAATTCAGAAAGGTTGTGCGCCCACAACAAATAATGCAGACAGCATAGAAGATGGGGACATGCAATTAGGCATCTCTGACTTTCACGGAAGCCAGAATATCTCCCAGGTGAAAGGACGTAAACAAAAGACCTTGTGAATTCAATGCAGATTTTTGTACCCAGTGAAGGGAATTAAGAACCATTAGCTCCAGTATGGGGCTGATGCCCCATGTTCATGATGCCAGTGAAGAGAAGCTGTGTCAGAGCAGTGCAAAGTTCCACCAATCCTTTAGAGACAGAGACCAAAATTCCAGCCTGTAGACTCTGGATACAACACTTTGGACCTAAATGGCTTGTGATCAGATGTAGGATGAGGTCTTCTGATAACTCTGACTGGTCCAGAAACAGCAATGCAAACAACTCAAGACATGGGAATGTGCTGATTTCCTCACTAAGGTCTAAAAAAGGTTAGATTACCTCAGACCAAAGAGAAGAACATCCATCTCCTAAGGACGCCAGCAAATTGGGCTTGCTGGGAGAGACAGGTGCTAAACAGGGCTGTACTTACAGCTTTGCCACCTCCCGAAGGTGGCAGTATAATCCAGTGGTCTAAGTTTACCATCCTGTGATGTACGAACTGTTGTTTATGTAAGAGCTGTTTTTATCTTTTCTTTTAACCTTTGTTGCATCTCCTGCAGCCACTTCCTGTCTGCATGCACTCCCGCAATGGCTGTATGGCATTTATCAGGTTTGGATTCCTGATGGAACAGTAGTCCATGCCTGTGTAATGTGTGTTGAACTGCTACTCTGGGTCGGAAGCCAGTGTGACAATGCAGGAGCACAACTGGGAGACAGGGACAGAGTATTGCTGTCTAATAACAGGAAGGGTCTTCATAGCAGGGTCACTAAGATTTTAATGAAAGCTGCAGATTTTAAAGTAAATAATTTAATTCTGAAACTAGAATAAAATGCGAAAGCTTGCATGGAGGTTTTAGTGAATAGGTTTACATCTACTTTAACCCGTGTCTAAAAACTTACATATCTATAATCTGCCCACATTCAGGTGGTGAACATAACAAATCACACTATGGAAATGTGCACACTTGTTACCGGTGCAGTCTGAATTTCCCAAAAAATTAGAGTTGAGCTTTATGTACAGCACAGTCGCACAGAGAACGTGCCAGATGGCACCTACAATGCATAAGTGGAGAAGTACCCAACAGGTTCTGCATTTAGGACAAATTTGACAGAGGTTTAGTTAAACCAACATTTCAAAGCTGATCTAAAGATATTTCACAATTGAATGTGTTTTACTATTCTGCACATTACACAAGGCAATGAGAAAACAAATCCCCCCCCCCTCATTCCTCAATAGGTGGTTTGCAGCAAGGTTTATGTCACCACAGACAATGTGATCATGTTACATTCAAGCAAAAACAAATGTTATAATAT